CCTACAAAAAACCTTAATACATTTTTGCTCTAATATAATTTGGGGGGCCAATAATCGCATGTTATGAATTTTACATTGAAATCCCTATGATGCGTTACGCAAGTCACCACCCTGTATAGTATGTGACGTAACTAGTTAATATCATCAATCTTCTTTGGACACCGGTACAGATTTAAAATAATTTTAAGTCCTGATTTAATTTAAACTGCTACATCTGCATTAAGTTCTTGAAATACATCTAAGTCTCGACACAGATGTGATAATTACCCAAATCATATAAATTTCAATAACTTTTTTGTTTTTTGATATAATGTATACCTACTTTACGAAATATTTAATAAATTCGAAAAAAATCAAGATGGCGGCCATTTTTACCCAAGTTCCACCAATGCGACAAAGTGCGATTTTTGAGGGGTTAATAAGGACTCTATTGAGTACTCATTTCGGCAGAGATCACGTTGTTACTAATTTTTTCTACCTCACTTGTATAAACCGGCCTAGTTTGACCAGCCTAGAAGGTTTCATGACGATTTTGGGTAAAAAGTATTGCGAAAATGCGTTACAATAGGAAAAACTGCAAAGTTTTGGTACTTGCATTGCCGTATGATACAGATACACTGGGATTTTTCTAGAAGTAAATTGACTTCGGACCTTGATTCATACGCGTTCACGCTTCTTCGTCTTTAGTCACCCAAATTATTCTCGATGGACAAAAAGATTCCACGACAATCTATTAAACATAGAAACAAAGTACCCTAACTACAAAAGTCAATTTGTAAACGGTTTATTTTTAATTAAACCGTTTTTTCGATCACCGGTAGATTTAAGTCTCGAGCAGACCGTTAATGCAGATGCTGCACGACGATTAGGAGTGACGAATTCTGGAAGCTCGGAAAAGATGGGCATACTTAGTTATTCCCTAAGAACTTCAATCGTGACACAAACGTTTGAAGATGCAGGTTGCAATAAAAAGTAAGATGCCAGAACACCGGGTAAAAAAGACAAGAGAGCGTTAAATTCAGTAATAAACCGTACAAGAGCTAATGGCCTATTTTGCAGTTGAAGCTCTTTAATTATAAATAAAAAAAAAGTACTATAGAGAATTTAATGAATCCTTTTTGGGATATACCCAAAGGCCAATTGTTTAACATTGCTACAGGAAAAGTTTTCTCTATAATAGTCCCAGTATATAGGGAAGTTCCTTAGAATATTGAAGAAATCGGAATTGAATTACGAGACAGATTTATTCAAGAATGCGTATTGGATTCTACAAGGTTTGGGAAGCCTTTAAAAAACTGGATGTACCTACTTTTGCCAACAAAGGTATTAAATACTCAATTAAACACTGATGTGAACTTAAATTTGAAACATTTAATGAGTAAACTTTTGCTGTTATCAATAAATAATAAGCTAGACCTAGAGTTAGTGATGACCTATTCCTTAACGCGCCTGTTCCTTTATCGCTTTGTAACCTCGATGGAAGCATCAACACTTCTTCAAATTTTAGAAAAAATTGACAAAAACCCTGAGAACCAGAATTAGTTGGTGCCACGGTCATTGATGGATATTTCTTTTTACACTTATTAAAAAATCCTAATGAACCGCTGAGGTAATAATTTTTCAGCCCATGTTTGCAAAATACGGGCACAAATCGATAAACAAAAAATATTATTATTTGGTTTGACTTCTAATTTGAATGGGTTTTCTTCGTTACGTACACATTTTTAAATACAAGGTAAATGAAAAGATTTGCAAAGTATGCAAGATATGCAAAAGAAAATTTAGTTTACTTTATAGAATTTATGTAAAAATGACATTTTAATAGGTTTGAATGAGTAGGCTAAGCCGTTCTTTAACCGTAAGAGTAGATAACGTGAAACAAATGATTGTGCATTCTAATGACATCTGTCCAAATGCATGACATAAAATGACGTTCAGAACATATAAACGATCGCGACGGCGGAACCTAAGCTTGCTATTTTTGACGTCTCTAAATTAAATTCAGAATTATAAAGAGCTTTATAATGGTTTATATGGCTTCTGCTATAAAATAAAGTTTTGTATTATACACGACAATAAAGGGAAACTAACCATCTCGTGAAAATTAATTAATTAACATCTTTCACTCAATGGTTAAAATATCGTCTTGTATAATAACTAACTATTAATGGATTCAAAATGTTCCGAATCGCAAATGCACGATATCTGAAAGAGCGCACCCCAAAAATAAACGATATGCATTAACTACTATCAACAAGTCCTGCTCACTTCTCATATTATCAAATTTGGTCTAAGTAATTTGACTAATTTTTATTATAAAATGAAAATTTGGCAATAGCGTCACACTTTCAACTCATCCCTAATATGCTGTTTTTATTGCACGGTTCCGGATTGTGCCTTCCTTTTCCGATTTGATACTACAGACACAATTTGATTCATTGTCACAGATATGTACGCGGGCAATGTTTGAGCTCGGCCTTTAACGCCATAAATTATATTACTCATATTTTATATTTCTGTGCGCAATCAACAACCCGCGGTTACAGGGGAACATTCATTGGATGACTCCGGGATTTAATATGTTCGTACATATTTTAGTAATTTAACTGCCAGAACATTGCCCTTTTACTCCCAACTCGAGAGTTTGAAATACGTGATTAGAATAATGTGACACAATCGAGAATATTAATACACTGAAAACTGTGAAACATCCAGATCTACAGTTTAAATTAAAGTACCTATCTCTTAATATTGGTACTACAGTAAAAATAAAAACGCGGTATTCGGGAAAATGAAGAGGGCAAAAGAAAAACAAAAGCGACGGGATGTAATAATGAACATTATATCAATTCAGTTAATTAAAAGTTTTCAATAATCCACCGCTTGAAGCAGCTTGTGAATTGTACGTTCCAATTTCGTATTGCTTATCTTGCGCTCTGCTCAAAAATTAGAACAGAAAGGCAACTCACTCGAACATTTCGAAAGCAGGCGACGAATTTAACGTGAAGAGCTCTTCAGCACCGCGGGCCTAAAATCTATACGAATTCGTTTGTGGAAAAATTATTTTACAAGGATCAAGTGAAAGTGCTTGATCGACCGCAATTAAAATGTGGTGTTAAAGTGGTCATTGCGGTTATGTTGGAACGTAAATAGTGTTAGTAGTGGAACATCAAGTCTGTATCTGGTAAAGGGTCTGTGAAATGTGAAATGAGACCGTCCTTAATTGACACTAAACAGTTTCTGTTGCCGATAACTTACTTGTAACATTAGGAAAAAAGACCGATTATTGACAGCAGAATACATAACTCCCGCACGGAACTAAAAATGCTCGCACCCCCCTTCCTCGATTAAAAAATAAAAACTGCTTGTACTACAAAAGATATTTATAAAAATAATGTCTTTTTCAAAGATTCTAACTACAAACCCTTCACATCACTGTCGAGGAAACATTGAAGCACGAGGCTTTGAGACCGAGTAGGTACTTTAATTTCCGAGTCAAGTAATGCTATTTTTTCTGAAACGACTTTAGAAACAACTACTTTCGTCTCTAAAAAGGGTGAAGAAAATGTGATTTTCCTCTCTAGTGAGGAAAGTAAAAAACAATTTCTGCGTTAATCTTAATAATGACATTTAAAATTGAAACACACCCGTATCTAGATTGCTATTTGTCAAACTTCATTATTGTATACGATCATTTTTCAATTTTGATTGTAGTTTCAGAAAAAAATATGTGTAAAACTTGAGAAGAAAACTATCGTTCAATTGACACACTCGCTACGCTCAAGTGTCAACCTTTGAACTCGAGTTAAAAAACTCTACCTTCTTCTCTAGTTGTACAAATAACTATTATGGACGAGTCTTTTTTTATTAAACTTTACCCCAAATCGTATTTTAATGTGAAATTTCAATTTTTATGTATATAACTTTTGAATAATGTCAATCTGTCAGTGATGATGTGACATGTGTGGCCGGTAAAGTGCTAGAAGCGGATGGTCAAACGCCAGGAAAAGTAGTCTGGTCTCATGACGATTTTGGGTAAAATGTTTACGGAATAACTGTAATCGACAAAATAAATCGGTTGTGAGTAATGTGAGTTATGATGGAAGTCTAATTGAGATTTGATAACAAAATAACTATTTCATTAATTAACTTTACATGATCAAATTCCCCATATATTGGCGTAACATGAATTGTCTTTGAGATCAGCTTGGAGTATTGGCGTCCATCCTCCCATTTATCACCTATTCTTCATAACTAGACAGCTAGCCAAACTTAAAGCGTATAAAACTGGGCTTCTCGCATGGAAATAGAGGACATTTACAACGATATTTTAGTAACTCGCGATATATGTATAGACAGAATCGACCGCACCCTTAATAATTTTTCCATAAGATTTTTATCGGAATGTTTATGTTAGGTATCTGTAATATTTATGGCTGCCGTAGAGTCTCGAGTGGTTTTTTCTTCTACAGCACGGTAATGCGGGCAGTTTGTTAACTTTGACTACAATATCGCGCTGCAGTAAAGCAAAATGTTAAAAGTAATGATACTCTCTTTGCCCACTTATGTCAACGTACATTTTTGTATTTGTGCCAAGAAACGGGCGAATAGGTACGTGTTATAAATGCGACTACTTTATCATGGAGGGAATATCTTATGATGGACAATAAAGAGTCGGTGAGAATGAGGAGTAACTATTTAAAATTATATACCGTTCGAGGTTCAACTGTAAATTTATGTAAATTGAGGCTTTAGAAATTGTGGTAAACTTTCAGACAGAGTAAACCAACTAGCATACATGGATTAACTAAATGTGACTGTTTAAAATTTAATTACAGACTTCCACACTTCTAACTACTCTGATTTTGAATTATTTTGGTAATCCTTAGAACAAACAAAACCGTAATTGTTAAGTTGGAATTTAGGACACTCGGATTAATTTAACTTTTCGCCATAAACTAGATTAAATCGTGAGAGAAACTTGATCAAATTTTTTTCAGATAAACCAGTTCCTCGGTTCCCTCACTTGTGGAAACAGATCGAGCAGGCTTGGGCGTTTATTGGCGGCGATGTTAATTTGACCTGCGAGGTCGACGCGAATCCGCCAGCGAAGTTCGAGTGGTTCCGCAAAAATCGTCTCGTCACCGTAAGGGATAAGGCAGCCATCCATGAACCTCATAGATCAATCCTTCAGGTGAGTCTTCCAGTCGCGCTTGAATTTATTAGAAGTGAAAGTTTCAGCTTCACGCGAATAATTCGATCGTTTTCGGCGATTATAAATGTAGAGCGACGAACCGATTGGGGAAGCTCGAAAAGTTTATCACACTCCAACAGGGAGTGCAGCCCGATCCTCCAGACATAGTTAGATTGCACGAAGCAAGACGGCACACCATCAGTTTAACTGTCGAAGGGCCTGATATGACGAATAGGACGATTGCCGCTAGCATGCTACCTTCCGGCTATCGCATACAGTATAAGGCCACTGAGGAAAATTTGGATTGGGATCATGCGGCAA